GGAGCGCGGGCGAATGAGAGGACAATTTTATTGTTTGTTTGTATGTGGATGTGGCGGTGTGAATGAAATTGGTTAATAAATTAAATTGGGTGTACTTTTTCTACTAGGTTAGTTTAAATATCTGCTGTCCGCTAGCGAAAACACGGGTAAGCGACAAAATATTTTTTAAAGATATCATAAAAAACCATAACCCAGTTTTAGACTATTGAAATTGTTTAATGACATTTCAACTATGCATGGTTAGGGTAAGTTCCGATAAGTCGAACACGTTAACTAATTTCAACTGTTTAAAAGAGAATTTTGTGCTCTATTGTTTGCTGTTTAAAATGGTTATTTGACCATTGGTCACTTAGCCGTGTTTTGCTACGTGGACGGCAGATATGTAGTGTGAGTGTATGTAGAGTGATAGTATTGTTTTATCATTTGAGTTTAGAAGTGTGTAGTACCTTATTCGCTTAGTGAGATGATGCAGAGTGCCAGCAGCTGGTGGCGGTACGTCTCCAGCACCGGCGGCCGCCAGCACGGCGAGCCGTTCGACGCTCTCGAGAACGCTCACGAGCCGCTCGACCATTATTGCACCCGAACGGCATGACTCACGAGATACCCAATCTCGCACTATACGCTCACGTTCATTCACTTGGCCCGGCGCATCTTAGGCAATAAAATGTGGAATTAAGGCACAATTGTATTAATTATTTATTCGCTTATATGTATACTATCAAAAATGGACATTGATGCATTGTTATAGCTTTCCTGACCACATTTGTAAGTCATACTTATTTTTAAAAACCTACAAAACACATAAAAGTATTTAAATTTGGATACAGTTCCCAATTTCCCAATCGATTTTCGTTCTTAATAAATAACAACCACAATGTGCCAGTCGAGCACATCATATCCTGGTGTCTCTATATAGGGATAGGAACCTCGTCATAATCAACGTTCCAGTAGGATCAAGTTTTCACACTTACCATTTGCTTGAGGAGATAGCACTTGAAGCAAAGCCGGGGCTAGACCGGAAGACTGTAGTTCATAAGCAGACAACAACTCATCTCCGCAGAGAAGTTCAGATAGCTGTTCTAAAGCTTCGTTTAGTTCTTGCTGCCAGTCGCCAGTGGGCTGTGTAGCTAGTCGCTGCATTCGAGCAAGAAGAGCTCGGAGTCGAGCAACCGGGGGACGTGGTTGTCTAGTAGCAGCGCTCGCCAAGTGACGTGAATATAAGGCACGAGCGCGTTCGCCCACCTAGACATACATTATAACAATAACATAACGGTCCTGTAAGTGATTCCATTTTTTTTTTTTTTGTTTTACAATACCAAGTGACAAGCAAGTAGGCAAGATTGTTTTAGTTTTGTTAAATCATTAGACGCATAGGCTTCCTAAACTTAGACGGAAGGATATATTGCACATGAAAGCAAATACTGTCTATCTCAAATTTGTGGAATTAAGAAAATATAATTTGAAAAAAAAATGCTGAATAGACCTTATTGCGAATTTTTTTTCTACAATATTAAGTGACGGGACGAACAAGTCGTGCGCCTGATGCTAAGCTACACGTCTGTCCATAATAGTTGCAGTGCCACTCAGAGCTTTAAATCGCAAAGATCTGAGGGGCACTGCCACTGCGCCCGTCACCCCGAGACATAAGGTGACAAGTCCCATGTACCTGTAATTTCACCAGCACCCTTACCCTTCCAAACCGGAACGCAGTAATATCCCCCTATACGTAAGAGACGAACAAACGAAAATTAAGTAGTGCTACAGTCTCGCGACATGATTTTTATTAATGAATCGTAACGTAATCCTAGATTCATACTAAGAAGTGACGTTCAGGAGATAATGAAAAATTATTCAAGTAACCCAAAGGTTTGTTTTTTTTACCTGAGCTTTCAACGCCTCTGTCTTAGCCGAGAGCCGAGTCCTGCTTTGACTGGCGTTGGCAATGTTGGCCGCCGCTGCTCTACGATCAGCCCAACCGCTTGCTAACTCTGGACCTATCAAAATAAAAAATCCATTGGGGTTTCTAATTTACAACGTAATATACTTATTGTGAACATTGAAAGTATCGCGTTACAGTAAAAACTTACTAATTAAATTAATGTAAGCTTCATTCAAATTGTGTTCGCAAATATGCAGTGGTCGAATTTAAAGTTGATTGCTGTTAGCTACGCAGACGGGAGTAAAAGCTAGTTATAAATAGAAACGAAGTCATCGTTCGATAGATAACAAATAAAATCGAGTTAGAATTTTGTTGAAAACTTATTTACAACACGACATAGAGCAAGAAATAAATGAAAACAACTTTTTTGAAGAAAACTGTGCTAAAGCACAATTATTTCTTAATATGTATCGGCAATCTTCGGATTTCCAAAAGCTCCTGAATACAAATTAAAAATGTCTAGTAGTTATGAGATTTATCATCTATTTAATAATATAATAGACACGCAGTCATCGAGTATATAACCAGAAATAGAGATGAAATGTCATTTTATATGTTTGAAAACTGTTCTGCCATATCGTTAGGGTGACAAGTGCGCTACGATTGGCCAGCCCGAACTCGAAACAATTGACGGGTGTAGTCATTTGTTTCACTTCAAATCGACCAGTTTAACTTGAGCTTTGCTTTAGTGGGTTATATGTAATTGCAAAATTACATATTTAATTACCAATGAAATGTGATTACGTTTGTTTTGTAATTAGATGTTTTGCTGTTTTTCCCACACCACCGAATGGAACTACCCCATTGTTAGAGAACTTATCATTATTACAATAAATACAGAATATTTTTGGAATATACGAAGACGTACACACAGGTCAGTTGTTGGCACTGTACTATTTCAGTTTTCTTATTTGTGATTTCAGCGCAAACGAGAGTTGACATTTAAAAGTGATAAGGCCCATTTACCTGATGAGTTGCCAGGGAAGGATGGGCCTTATTTCGTCTCTATTTCTAGTTATACACTCGGTGCATTCAATACACATACCTAAAAATGTTTCAGCTGTGAAAGTGTGTTTAGTGCCTCTGTTAGACTCGAAGATAAAGCCTGGCAAGTCTTCCCTTAGGATGGTTGTTTGCTGCTGTCCATCTGTATTGTGTATGTGCAGCTCCTTTTCCCTAAGAATATAAGTTATTAGCTATAATCATTGACTTACAATTATATGGACGTCGGGTCCGCGCTAAAAAGTGCCCGCACTTGTAAGGCGCTAAAATCGTATACAGAGCGCGACACTCCGCTTTAGTCTTCATTTGTTCTACGGACAGCGCGATACTGCGATGACATAACAATTTAAATTTCGAATAGGTTGACTTGGGACATTTTTTTCGTGGTTTTTGTATTAGACCCGTCGTCTATTTATTTGTAAGTCAATGGCTATAATAGTAATAAACTTAGACTTTTTTCGATTTAGGACAATTTAGAGATTCTAAATTGATATTTCAAAAACCAGATGCACACACTCACTTCTTGCAAGACAAGGCCCAATTCCCGAGAATAAGTTTATTAGGCCCAGGCTTGGATAGAATAGACTGAGGTACAGAATTCTTAACTGACGCTCTTGCCCGTTGCAATTTGTCTATAAACTCGCCGCGGTTCTCTGTAACAAACAAAATTGTCAATTAAAACTACAAGTTATTATTAATTGTGACACAAAAAAGTCCAGAAAGCAACTGGCAAAATTGTTAAAAGTATATATAATTATAAGTATAAGTAGATACTTATACATACGATACGTAGAATATGACAGTTTATAGATATAAACTGTTATATTCTACTAAATATAACAAGAGTTTTCAGTTCACACAAGTCAATTTTAAAATGCATATTATGTAATATAAAGTGTATTTACCAGTATTATCAGTCTGATGCTCAGGACTACCACTAGAATACATCGTTGCGAGCTTGCCATCGAGCAGGAACCGGAACCACCCGTTGCTGCCGGTGCTGAGTTCGAGTGCCGCCGCGTCACTCCATACGTACAGTGCGTCACGTCCGCGACACACGGACCATTCGCCCCAAGAGTATGCTACCCCGCTGGCTAGGCACATCGCGTCTTCACTACTCCCTACACACACAATTTTCTTAAGTTTTTATTAAATTTAATTAGTTGCCTGACTCAAATAAATAAATAAAATTAAATTAGTAAATAACTGTGTAAAAGTGTACTTTAATAGCGGGACAAAGCTACTTTTTTTCATAATATCAAGTGACGGGACGAAAAAGTCGTGCGCCTGATGGTAAGCTACACGCCTGTCCATAACAGCTGCAGTGCCACTCAGAGCTTTAAATCGCAAAGATCTGAGGGGCACGGCCACTACGCCCGTCACCCCGAGACATAAGTTGACAAGTCCCATGTACCTGTAATTTCACCAGCACCCTTACCCTTCAAAACCGGAACGCAGTAATGCTTACATTACTACTTGGCGGCAGAAATAGGTAAGGTGACAGTACTTCCCTGGACGAACTCTTTCACAAGCTCTACTGCTACTAACTACAGTACTTCTAAATTACCGCTGCACGCTAAAAATCTATCAACTAATTTATAATTTTGATAAAAAAAATTATTACGTAAATATGCAATTTACAATTATATTTTCATGTTGTGATGAAAATAATTCATTTTAATCAAAGTTTTTAATTACGTCAGGTGTCCTCGGACCAGATACTTTCGATACAGAGCTGTGTAATAGATATACAAGATGATTTTATTTATATATCTTTTACACCAAGACAAATAATAAGAGAATTCATAATAACCTTTAAACTTTACAATATATTAAACGTAGCACTAAAATCAATTTTCTGCAAAAAAAAAAATTGTCTAAACGCACGCTAAACGTACCTGCAGCACAAGCATTTTCACTGTCGGAAGACGCCAGAGAGGCCGGCGCGGAAGCTAAAGCTTCCACCTTGCTGAAGACCCCGAGTCTTGCAAACTGCTCCAAGTAGATGTCCGACGCTTTAACCATCAGCTCTTCAGCTATGCCCAGTACTATGAGGTGGCCGTCATCGTCATCCTATTTTTAATAATTTCATATTATTTTCACAGGTATAAAAAATATTTATAAGAAAATCTTAATTGGAATGCTAACTTACGTTTTTTACTGAAATTAAATAAGCAACCAATTCTTATACCAACAGTTGTCTGGTATACAAAAAAATATTTATAATATACAGTACCCTAATAGACATGCTAACTGCGATGTGACAGTCACAGAAAAAATACAATTTTTACAAGGTAAAGACAACACAAAGCAATCAAAGGAATATTAACACATTGAACACAAAACCAGGAATCAATGCAAGTAAATTTCGATGGTGTGATTTCTTCACAATAAATGCAATGCATTAAAAAATCAAGTGATACATGTAAAGAACAAGAAACGTTCCATACCAGGTCTCGGTATGTTTATTAGTATAAAAATATTAAGTACTGTGATTATGACTATGTCTAATATGGCAATTAGAAAGCTCAGCATTTTGTTGGCAACATGGTAGGAATCCTCGTTTTTATAAGTGATTACGATAATGAAATCCGTACAATGTTCTAACATTGCGGCTCTAAACAAAGGAAAGACGAATTTAAATTTTACAAACTTTTCTGTCTAATCCAATGTTTTGTTTCGTTTAAACATGTGTCATGGTTTAAATAATTATCAAAGTTCACCCTTAGATGGCTGGTTGTTAAAGAATAATAAGGAACCTGTGTTATCGTTAAGAACCGCTACTATCGTAGTAGCGGCTTTTTATATTGTTGAACAGTTTTTCATTAACGACGGCTATGTTGTGATATGTTTTAACAAAAAGCCACGTGCTTGCAATTGACTGTTGCGAATGAAGGAAAACAAGTTGCCAGAATTGTTAATTCCATTCTTACAAATTATTTACTTATCACAGACGAGTGTCAGTTTACGTAACATTTATGTCGCTATATCTATCTCGTGTACGCTGCACACGAGATAATTTCAAAGAGATTTTTCTGACGATATTCAACAACAAATTGATTGAACAAAGAGCCCATCAAATTATTTAATTCTTATATTTATTAATACAAAGATAAGAAAGAGTACTAAGAAAAAATTCCATCGATCCGGCTGGATTCGAACCAGCGTCTTTGGGCAAACCGTGCCAGACGGTATGCAAACTAAGACACGGAACGAACTAGGGGACCTTACGAATTTTTCTGTGTTTATTGCAGATCTTTGTTATTGGTTTATGATACCTTTATGTAAAGGTGTTTCTTAGTGTTCGATATGTGTATTAATAATTATAATTATAACAAACTAGTAATTTCACAAAAATAATTGATTAACATGAAGGTCAAATATCGTAATATTCAATAAACTTAATAACAAAATAGTCAATTGTTGTTATGTGAAACGATAATAAAAAAAAACTATTTCATTGATAAGGGAAATAAATAGAGAGGCCATTTGGCAATTTTTTCAATCAACTTGTTATTCTTGTTGAAATTATCCAGTGTGCAGCGCGACATTACTGTTACGTAAACCGACTCAGTTAAGCGGTGGGCCTGTACCTTACTATCTTAACAGGAAACACTCGGAATAATATGTAACGTACTGTATCAACCCCATATACATACAGGTCTCAAATATTTTTTTTATGTGAACAAAGACGGGACGAACAAATCGTTCGCCTGGTGGTAAGCGACACGCCTGTCCATATCAGGTGCAGCGCCACTCAGAACTTTATATTGCAAAGAGCTGAGGGGCACTGCCACTGCGCCCGTTATCAACGAAGTAACGCAGTAATGCTCGCATTACCGCTTGGCGGAAAAAATAGGTAAGGTACTTCCTTGAATGAACTCTTTCACAAGCTCTACTTCTAATAAAAAAGTTATCCTCAAATTACAAATGAGACAGAGATGTAACTCATCAGTGTGAGCTGTGAACACACTAATACACTATGTCCTATGATGCATGATATGTGAAGTGGGCCGTGTAAATAGTCTGGGTGTATCAAAATGGCAGAGGAGTTTTGTGAACGTCGAATAAGTTTTGGGTTTGGTCGATGAGGTTAAAGGAATGTTTAGAGCCGCAAGTTAATCGCTAGAGCAGCACTCGGTGGGATCACACCATCGGAACGTTACCGCTGGCGGTCGGATATAGCGGCTGCGCAGGTACCGCGGCTGCGAGCGCCTCGGCATCGACTCGCCCTGATATACCAACTATGTTACTTATTGATTCCATATGGAGTAGCTGTTTCATTCTGGCGTTTGTGGCGTTAGCTTGTAAATGTCACTAGTGGGAAAAAAATCCGAGGGACAAGTATAAAGACACTGCAAGACCTTTACTGACTTTAAAATTATTAGGTTGATACGACGAAGTAACAAAATCCTAATGGATATTTAAACACTGCCACCATTTTCTGATTTAGTGACTGTAAAATTGCAGAACGTACACTACAGTATTTGTGAGAAAATAAGTTACCTCAAAGATTAGCTTCAAAGTCGGTACATAACATGAAGCAACAAACAACAAACCTTAATGCCACACTGACCCGAATGATACAACGGGCGTCCACATTAAAGTTTTACATTGGTTGAACACAGTTTTAAAATTATGATTCTCCCACAAACCGCCCGAAAAAACTTCGAGAAGTCTCACTTACGGGGGTCAAGTGGTAAGAGCAACGTAAGAAAATTTGAGCGGCTTACACCTGTGTGACATAAGCAAGGAAAAAACTTACGAGGTTGTCGATAACCGCAGCGACGAGCTGCGTCAAGAGCGCGGCCGTGCCGCGCGTGGAAAGAGCCCGCAGCAGCGGCGCCGGTGCATAGTGTACCATCTTACGCACAAGCGACAGGCACGCGCGGCGGACGCCGGCGCCGCCTGCGCCGAGGTAACGTGCACAGAACACTGGCACCAGCCGCCTGTTAAACATAAAGATAAAATCTAAGGCACCCTGTTAACAATCCTGTTGCTTGTCAACGCGCCCACACACACCAGCCACAATAGTTTTTTTTTTCCTATAGTACAACTACATTTTTATTACAATAACTCATTGACTTACAATTATATGGACGTCGGGTCCGCGCTAAAAAGTGTCCGCACTTTTAAGGCGCTAAAATCGTATACAGAGCGCGACACTCCGCTTTAGTCTTCATTTGTTCTACGGACAGCGCGATACTGCGATGACATAACAATTTAAATTTCGAATAGGTTGCCTTGGGACATTTTTTTCGTGGTTTTTGTATTAGACCCGTCGTCCATTTATTTGTAAGTCAATGCAATAACTAGACACATTAACTACTACACACAACTACACTACAATTTTGTATTGTTAATGTGCTATTAAGAAAATTTCTTTTTTTTAACATACACAAGTTTACATAATCAATTATATATACTAAAAGAACTAAGCTTGTTATGCATTGTATATATTAGAACTTACTCTAAGTATACAGCAGCCATTTCTTTGTCACCAGTTTCGGGAAAGTCATCTTCATTGGACGAGGTTGGGGAATCGTGATTGCCAACTACGAGCCATTCGCCAGGACATTGCAATATCGCTGCTACTTCTCTATGTCCTGAACAAAAATAAAGTATTTAATTTCTGTTTGTACACAGAATTTTGAGCTTTATTAACAAAATTTAAAATTCCAGGTTGCCAGAAGCTGAATGAAGAGTACTATTACTCTTAGTCTCTGTTATATTATTCTTCATTTATACAATCATACAATCTAACATTTGCGTTTTTAACAGAAGAAAAAAAATCCAAAATTACTTTCTAGTATATGCAATACAATAAAATAAAATATGAACAAAGACTGCGTCGCGATTGATTTTCATACAAAATGATATTACTATTTTCTCCCACTAGGCCTGCTTTTTATTTATTTTACCTTCCACAATAACAAAATACATTCTTTTCCGATGTCGAATACCATAATGAGACATATATAACCATTTCAAAAATAATGAAAATCGATCAAATCTGTGCTTGTGGGCGACAACGATTTCGCTATAAGTGGATTAAAATGGCGTCCTGGTATACAAACAGCTGATTGATAAATAATAAAACAAACATGTCAATCTTTATGACTTGGCTACAGATGACTATGAAGTACGTTAAATTTATTATATCTGCATACCTTGATCGTGACGTTCTCTAGCTTTATCAAGTGGAGTCTTTCCGTCCTCGTCCCTGAGATCAGCGTTGGCACCGTACCGCAGCAACACTTTGGCAATGGCTGGCCTACCGAAGCACGCCGCGTAGTGTAGAGATGAACTGCGCTGGCCACGATTTACATCGGCACCTATTATGGAAATAGACTCTTGTGCGTTACAGTGGTCATTCGAGCTGCATTGACAACACAGTTAGTCGCATCGACAATGATGATATTCTTGTGGTTAATAACTCCAACTATTCCCGGAGTGCCCCATCGGTACCATCAACTTACTGAGTCGAATCTTCAACGCTAAAGCTAATCACGATTTACGGACTTATTAATAAAAACATAATAATAATTAGCCTATAAAGTCCAACTGCTGGGCACAGACCTCCTTTGACAATGAGAGAGCTTGGGATGTAGTACCCATGCGGGCACAATTCCTTTGCAGGTTTCTTCACGATGTTTTCCTTCAACGAAAAGCTCGTGAAACGAAAAAAAATAAATTTCGCACATAAATTCCGAAAACTCAGAGATGTAACATCGGATTCAAACTCAGGACCCTCTAAATGAGAGGCGGTAGGTCAAACCATTAGGCTGCCATGGCTTTTTATGCTTGTTAATAAAATTAAAGTACAAAATAATAATGTGTAAGAACCAACCTTTTTCACAAAGAAACTCGACCATTTCCTTGGTGCCGAACGCAGCGGCCCAGTTGAGCAACGTTTGGCCCACGTCGTCCGTGAAATTTACGTCTACCGCGCCGCTGGACACCGCCGCTAGCAAAGCGTCCGTGTCCTTGCCTCTAATGCAGTCGATTAATTGTCTGCAATACGCAGGTTATTTAATTCAAAATAGGATGCGAATAGTTTCAACAGTGCACATCGAATTAATAGCTCGAAGTAAAAGTAGTCATTCCTAACCGTAATCATGGACGAATAACTCAAGAGGACTGCTAATCTCCAGTGCTCAAGATCGTAGCTCTGAAGGCGTACAGATACGGAAGGCTGGAAATAGTTTATATTATGTGTATAAGTGAGGTTTTTCCTTGTGATATTATTGAAATATTGATCATGAGCAAAAATAATTTGAAAACTATGGTTGTCAATAGATAGCATTGTGTGTTAACATACAAATTTATAAATTAACGCTCCCTAATATGGGTAGACGGCGCTAATCCAAAACAAAATAAAAGAGCCAGCACAATCCATAAAAAATATGTGCCATAAACGCCATCTAATTGATTTGTTTGCTATCACTAGACATGAGGATGCGTTAAAATTAGCCGCTGTGAGACGCGCTGCAGCAGCGCTGCAGCTGCGCGGCAGCCACGGGACTGTCACTTTTCATACAATTTCTAGAGGCGCTGCTACCGCGCGGCGGCCACGCTACTGTCGCGCTGCAGTCAAGCTCGATTGCAGTCACGGTTCAAGTATTCAAGTATTCAAGTATTCAAGTATTTATTTGCAACTAAGTGTACAATTAATACATAGTAGGTCTTATGCTAATTTGTGCTTATAACTTAGTAACCCTTTATTCAGGTATTGCAAATGTAGAGTAGAGGGCTATATTTTACTCTTAAAACTAATAAATTTAACAATTAAACATTTCTATTACTAATATTTATCGCAATTACAATAGATTTAAAAGATAGGTACCTAAATAATAATGTTTTAATAATTATTTATCATTCAAGTATTCGTAAAGTGTGTAGAAGCTTTTATCTATTAAATACTGTTTTATCTGTTTATTGAATGTTTTTAAATTTTGTTCATTTTTAATATGTTGAGGTAATTTATTATATATCTTGATGGCCATGTAAAGTGAGGTGTACATGTTAATTTTTCCAATTAACCACGATGCATGAAAATTGAATCGAAAAATTTATAGAGAATGTAAAACAACACCCTGCAATATGGAATAGTAGTTCCGCCAGTTATTTGAATCGACTGGAATTTAAAAAAGGCATGGGAAAATTTATGCCTAAAATTTATTGACAATTATGTTACTGAAAGTGTAACTGAAAAAAACATAGCAGGTGTCGCGTCCAGCCTCCATAGATGACCAGATTGACAGGCCACAAAGACAGATTTATTTGACTGACAGGAATTCGAAATTAGACCGACTTTGTTTTGGACAAACGACGCCGACCGATCTTCCTTTCTTTAACAAAGGAAGACGAGGGCATTCCTGACTCAACCTCCGACGTAAGCAGACGACTTCTCCTGACTAAATTGTACAGACAGACCGTACAGCAGGTGAGTCATTTTTAATACCTATTTATGAAGTGTGTGCCCCAAAAACTAGGTAAAAGTAATGTTTATTCGTCAGAATCCATCGCGTAACTAAGTCGAAAGATAAAGCATCACTAAAAATTTGGTCCCATTTCAGCAGCGCGACAGTCGCGCGGCTGCAGCGTTTCTAACAGCGGCTAATTTGGACGCGGCCTAAGAGTAGCTTTGATAAATAGCAGTTGGCCAATGTAAAACAAATTAGTTACAAAAATAACAAATAGCTATTTTTGTAACGGTATACTCGTCGCGATATCTGGTCTACCAATAGGTACTAAATACCCGACCACGCTATCTTGTATCACGATTACAGTCCTATTGTGTTATTAGTCGATGCCGTAACTAATATATCTAAAGATTGTCAACCCTTTCACTTTTTAGTAGTGTAAAAAAAGAGCAACAATATTTGTAGACTTGTCGTATTAAACTGCAGAAATAGTACTCACAGAATCACCTTCTACGTACTGTAGATTTGTATTTTTTTTTTTTTGGAATATACGACGTCAATAAAGCGCGTTAGTCGCGAATAGATACTATTAAGAACTTCAATACAAACCTATGCGATTTATCGCCTCTGGGGCCAGTACTACCCGTGCCGCCGCCACTGGAGCCTTCGCCACTCGCGCCACTACTGGAACCTGACGCTGAGCCAGCACCGCGATTTGAACCACTGATAAAAAAATAAACTATATTTAGAACATGAAATGTCATTAACAATAAATAGCAACAAATTAGACAATAGTTCGTAAAAGCAAAAGATTATACTGGTTGAAATAAAATTTCGAAAACTCGATAGCAAAACGACTAGCACTATAAGCGCTCGATTACCGATAGGACCACTTTGAAATACGAACTTTTCTAATTAGGTTCTGGTCATCGAGCATATAACCAAACATAGATACGAAATGTCCTTTAATTTGTTTGAAAACTATTCTGCCATATCATTACGATGACAACTGCACCCCCGATTGGCCAGCCCGAATTCGAAACAATAGACGGGTGTAGCCAATTGTTTCTCTCAAATCGACCAGTTTAACTTCAGCTTTGACGACATTGAAAAATTTTAGTTTAGTTGTTGTTTTTTTTTACCGATGTAATGTGATTCCGTTTGTTTTGTAATTAGATGTTTTGCTGTTTTTCCCACACCACCGAATGGAACTGGCCCATTGTTAGAGATATTATCTTTATTACAATAAATACAGAATATTTTTAGAATTTTTGGAGGCACACAGGTCAGTTGTTGGCGCTGTACTATTTCAGGTTTCTAATTTGTGATTTCAGAGCAAACGAGAGTTGATATTTAAAAGTGATATCAATACCATTTGACTAATGAGATGCCAGGAATGGATGGCTCTTACTTCGTCTCTATTTCTGGTTATATACTCGATGGTTCTGGTTATGTTTTCTAGGTAATATACCCGGACTTTATTTCATTACTCTGCTACAGGGGTCGGCAGATTGTGGCTCGCAAGTCACATGCGGCTCTTTGGCCTCTTGAGTGTCGCTCTGCCACAAAATACCGATACAGACCCACGCACGGCTTTTTTATTAAGTATACAAACACAAATCATTTTATGCAGAACAGTTATTAATAATAATTTACATTACTTTAATATTTTATTTCATTTATTTTATTATCAAGAATAATAAAATAAAAATACTACGTTCATTCATAATTAAATAGTGTCAATTAAAATTACTAATAAAAAAAAATCAGTTTTTGATTGATAGGATCAAAATAACGGAGTATTATTGATTGCTGAAACATCATCTATTTTCCAGCCTCTTTGATAGAAGTTTAATTTTTTTTATGTAAAGTAGGGACGCAAGCGAGCTACTAGATGGGAGGTGATCATCGTCACCCATGGACATCTGCAAAATCTAATGAGCTGCCTACGCGTTGCCAGACTTTGAGAGCCCTGTCGACACGCTTTTAGAAGAACTCCATATCATAGCGCAAAGGAATTACTTCAGGAAGAAAATACTTCATTTTTAAGTTAAGATTGAAATTAAGCGCGAGAAACTTTGCTTCATCATGCCAAAATAATCAATTCGGTATTGTGTACACCCGTATGTCACTATTTTACAAAGTTAATTATTTGGCTTCCCAAGGAGCACACTTTAAACGTCTTAAAACTGTTATATCTATAAACAGTCTTAATATGGTATAGATTTAGATAATAGTTCTCTATAAATGGTTTTAGAAAAAAGAAGTTGTTCTTATAGACTTATTTCACTCAAGTCCAAATTTTAAAACCTTCTCAATACCAAACAACTTAATTAAGTGTAATCTCTCTTAAGATTTACTCTTATAGTCCTTATTTTAAGTTCATCTGTAGAACAACTGATTATTTTTAGTAAAATTGTTCTATACACATCCAGTAAAGCCTATTAATACTCTAAAAACTAGTGTTCTTAAGTTTATTCTAGATATATTTAATTTATAGACATTCTGTAGTGTTTGTACTTATTGACAAACACGTTATAGCGCGTCTTCAGTAGATTTTATTTAAAAACATACTACAATTAGGGTTTTTACTCTATTGGACGTTGTAAGAGTTTATGCAAAATGGATAAAGTAAAGAATACTAAAAGATCTGGTGGAGGTGGTAAACCTTAGATATTAAGTCACATCATTCGATACAATCAGCGTTGCCAATGCCAATTGTTCAAAATCCCCAAAAATCACTATAATAATAATAACGTATACAATACAATCAACATAGCTCCGCACTAGCAGTGTTGGGCGTTAATCAATTAAATTTCAATCAATAATTCAATCAGATTAAGAAATCAATTCAATTGAAATCAATTGCAATTAAATCAATTGCGACGCGTCGCAATTGATTTAATTGCTATTGATTTTAATTGCAATTGATTTCAATTGAATTGATTTTAATTGCAATTAAATTTGTAATTAAAATCAATTCCGGCCGGTTGGGGGCCCCGGTTGGGAACCCCGGTTGGAGGCCCCGGTTGGGAGCCCCGGTTGGAGGCCCCGGTTGGGGGCGCCGGTTGGGAACCCCGCTTGGGGGCCCCGGTTGGGATCCCCGGTTGGGGGCCCGGTTGGGGGGCCCGGTTGGGGCCTAGGTTGGGGCCCCGGTTGGGGTCCCGGTTGGGGGGCCCAGTTGTGGGGCCCGGTTGGGGGCCCCAGTTGGGGGCCCCGGTTGGAGGCCCGGTTGGGGGGCCCGGTTGGAGACCCGGTCGGGGCCCCCGGTTGGAGACCCCGGTTGGGGCCCCGGTTGGAGACCTTAACTGGGCCCCGAACTGGGCCCTAACCCGGCCCCCCAACCGGGTCCCCCAACCGGGGCCCCAAAGAGGGCCCCCCAACCGGGTCCCCAACCGGGCCCCCCAACCGGG